GAAATGTGTTTGGGGTTTACAACAAAGATGGACGGTAGGGGGCAAGAGCGTAACTTTTTGTTGAAAACTGACGGGGACATAGGGACTCTAGATTAACTAAGTTAACGTTAGAATACAACTGGGTTGTCGAGGTTAGCGCGTTGTTAATAGATGGTGCCACAGTTACTTTGTCATTCTGTGGGAAATACTGGGATCACTTAACAAATCTGAGGTAAAACATTCAAAACAATTATGATTAATTAAATTTAAAAAAAAATGTTTCAGTCCCTTTTCCTCAATAAATTAAAGATGATTTGAATTAAAGATGAATTAAAGATGATCCTGATTTGTTCGTGATTCAAATAAATTAAAGCCAAAGAGTAAAATGTAGAAGTAACTTACTGGTATCGGTGGCCCACTTCAAGCACTGCCTATAATCAAAATTGACACCACTAATCTGTGAATCCGTAGTCCACTGGTGAATTACATTCTGACAAAAATGGCCTTGTTACGTTGGCAAGGGTCCAGACGATCCAATCCAGTAAAATATTTAGTCCAAAACGCATTATTATATCAATCAATACACACGAACTGCTATTGTGACGCTTTATATTAGCCTAACTACAGCTAGCATGTAAACAAAAAATTAAACTTCCATGCCCTGTCCACGGACTACCAATGAGTATCCACATCGCCAGGAAGTGCCAGTCCCCTTTCTTTCGTGTATACCCCGACACTGAGCCACCAAATGTGCAGAGGAAGACTGGCGCTTCACACACAAACATAACACGCAACAGTTAAAAAATATGCAAGAATATTTTCCACAGACATATTTATATATTGTCAAATACAAAAACGCCTCGCGTGAATGTGCTACATGTCAGTATAAAATTTATTTTAATCACATGAAGGGTATGATATCTTGTTCGCAGGTTCGGCACTTTGTCTGTGGCATTAGTGAGGGAGCAGCTAAAAGTCCAGACACACTCATTTGGCTGCTTAACATGAGGACAAAATTGGCTTAAGATTTTAAAATGTCCCTTTAATCACAGGTCAAATCATTTGCAGCATTATTATTTAGCAGCAGAAGGACTCAACACTCTCACTGGGCCTTACTGTATGTATGCTTCAAATGTAAATGCTCCGTATTTGTATAGCGCCTTTCTAGTCTTTTCGACCACTCAAAGCGCTTTTACACTACATCTGCATTCACCAGTCTTACACATTCATACACTGAGCCTAAGTGCTCAAACGGAAACTAACATTCACACACATTCATACACTGGCGGAACAGGGGCAAGGGGCCCGGGGCAATTCGGGGTTCAGTATCTTGCCCAAGGACACTTTGACATGCAACCAGGGGGAGCCAGGGATTGGCTGGACAGATCAGGAAATACACAGACATGTTTTATACTTACCTAATAGATTACACAGTAGTAAGTGAGTAGTGACAGTAAGTGCCACCATGACTATAAATCTTCTACAACTATAGAGTTATCATGAAATCACCACAGATATCCATCTTCCCCACAACAGTTTTTGGAATCCCCTTAACGTTCACTGTCAAAATGTCAAAACATTCACATATTGAGCAAAATATCTTGACATCATTAAGATGGATTGGCTCAAAATGTAATACATTTGGTGACATACATCATGTTGATTCCCAGAATATTTATCCTAATGACTTTGGTGATGTTGACGATTCTTCTAGTGCCGTCATCAGGTCAAATTGTCCAATCATTTGGTTTCTGACAAAAACATTCTCATCAGCCTCAGCCAACATTGCCATTGAGAACATGTTAGCATGCAGATGTTAGCATTGAAAAGAGGCTGTATTTAGCTAAAGTTAGTTAAGCTATACGCATTGCATAATTATGTCAGAAGTTGACATTACGCATGGCTGTAATGAACAAGAAGTAGAGGTTGCAAACCAGAAACAAAAAAAAAGTTGCATGGAACTGAGGACCATGAACCTGTGAAAAATGGTATTCAGCAATGTGATTCAAGTGGCCAAGTTGCTACCAGTCATGCTTCCGTTATAGATGTTATAGATGCTGACAGCGGAAACAGCTGATCAGGCATGTGAGGTAAATGGTCGCAAAGGTTTTTCCGTCTCCCATTTGGCACATTAACTCTAATTTTGCTGTTTACATGAACCTTTTCTAATGCAATACTCCAAAATGTGCATAAAAATATGTTGATGGAAACATGACAATTGACAGTGTTAAAAGTACTGACTATGTGCCATCCACCATGGCAGACTGTGATAGAATGAGAATACCTGTCAGGGTAAATTTTTACCTGGAAGTTGAACATTTTTAGCATCATGCGCCACTAAGCAGTTTTCAAAGAATGAGTATCGCCTTCAACGCTGTATCCAGTTCTCTTTATACAGCCATGCTCCCAAGTCATCACATATGGACATTTGGTCAAAACCACTTGGCGTCTCTTATTAACGCACTGTGTACTCCTTCAGTGTCATTTCTGGATGCGCAGGGCAATATTAAAAATGTTAGGTCTGAATAGACTTTCAAATGAAAGCACATAGTTAATGTTGTGAAATGGTTGCAGTTTGGTTAGGTTTAGGAAAAGATCATAGTTTGCGTTAGTTAGTTAGTAAGTTATGTAACTTAAAATAGTTACGTAATTTACGTACGATATGTAGCATAAGTTAAGAAGTTAACGTTGACTAGTGGTTTCACACAGCAGCCATATGTAAAATCATATTAATTTACAAAGGTTTATGAAGAATTATCAAAGATGATACAAGTAACTACTGAGATCCTAACTAGTCATAGAAAGGAATGCTGATTTGAACACAGGAGGAGCTGTGCACGGAAACTTGATAAGGATTAACACCACTACTGCAGAAGTACAAAACAATAGGATAGTTAAGTGTGGACTCTTGAAAATTAGATCTCTTGCTTCCAAAGCAGTACTTGTTAACGAGATAATATCAGAATATTCTATAGATCTGTTTTGTCATTCAGAAACTTGGTTGTTTCATGTTGAATGTTAGCCTTAATGAATCTATTCCTCCCAGTCATACCAATACTCATATTCCTCAAGGTGCTGGACAAGGTGGCAGAGTTGCAGCTATCTTTGACACAAGCCTGTTGATCAATCTTTAACCTAAACAAAATTTTAAATCATTTGAAAGTCGTCTTCTTACTCTTTCACATTCTACCTGGAAAGCTCTGCAGCCAATTATAGTTGTCATAGTGTATCGCGGTCCATATTCTGAATTTCTACTTTCTACTTCTACCGAGTTTTTATCATGTCTAGTTCCTAAATCAGATAAAGTAATTATTGATGGTGATTTTAATATGCACTTGGACGTAGATAACAACAGCCTTAGTACTGCTTTTTTTATCATTGCTAGATTCAGTTGGTTTTAGTCAGTGTTCACAGACCCACTCACTGTTTAACCACACCCTTGATCTTGTATTGTCACATGGCATTGACATTGAACATTTAACAATTTTTGCACAAAATACTATTCTGTCTGACCACTGTTTCATAACCTTTGAGTTTCTACTACTGGACTACATGCCTTTAGACAAATATTCATACACTAGATCAGATGATGCTGTTTCTAAAATCAAGGAAATTATTCCATCAGCACTTAACTCCACCCATCCCTCCCAACTTGATAATTTTATTGACTGTGAACAACGCTTGACTCTATTTCCCCTCTTTAAAAGAGAATTAGACAAAGAAAGCTAGCACCTTGGTGTAACTTGCAAATTCATAAATTGAAGCTTATATCGCAGAGGCTTGAAAGAAAATGGTGTTCTACTAGTCAAGAAGAATTACGCTTAACCAAGCAGGACAGTCTCAAAACTTTCCGAAGGGCCCTCTGTGCAGCTAGAGTAGTTCGGGGTTGTCCTTGTTATCCTCTACTAATGATGAATTACTATTCATTATTTTCTTCAGCACAGTAGCCAGGCTAACAGGGAGTCACACCTCCATTGAGCCTTGTATTCCTGCTAGCATCAGCAATAATGACTTTATGAGCTTCTTTAGAGAGAAAACTCTAATCATCAGACAAAATTCAACAGCTCAACAGCTTCAACCGTTGTACCTCAAAGAAATCTTGATACCTTAGTGCCTCAAAATACAGGGCTGCTTGTGGTGCCTAATGTAACTAAGGTTAGAGTGGGAGCCAGAGCATTAAGTTATCAAGCGCATCTACTATGGAATCGGGTCCCAATATGGGAAATATTGGGACCTGATTCCATAGGCCAATTTAAGGTCGGGAATCTGACAAAATCACCATGTTTATGGCTAGACTTAAGACGTTTCTGTTTGATAAAGCTTTTAGTTAGGGGAGGATTGAGCAAACTGTAAATTATTAAATTATTTTTATTATTTTATTTTGATTGTATTTTTTCTTGTGTTTTATTACATGCATTCTGTATTTTATGGTTTATTTGATTTAATTTCAATGCATTTTGTAAAGTGTATTGGGACCATGTCTTTTGATGATTTTGCACTTTTTTGATTTATGAGAGACAAGTTGGTACCTTTTTAAATAGATTTTTTTTCAGTGTACAATGTCAATAGCGGTACTACAGCCAAACCACTTTTGTATTTCCTCCAGCTTCCATCCATGCCACTGACCACTTGAGGGAAACCCATAGAGAGGGTCCAGATGAGAAGTATATAGATATCAGAGTACGGTAACATCACAAAGTATGGTGTAGACCTGCTCTTTTATGAAAAGCGCTACAACTGTTGTTGTGAATTGGCACTATATAAATAAAATTGAATTGTATTGAAGATGTATTCCAAACCAGTTAGGTTTTTTATAACTCACAAATGCATCAAACAAATATCAGTAGTCTTGCTGCAAATTATGTTTATGGAGTTCAGACTAAGATCACAGAACCTGTTGGTCTACGTGGAGGCCATGTCATGTCTGTTAATAATCTATCAGGATCCTGTTAAGGCTCAATCAGCTGTATCTGACAGCATCAAACTAGTTGACATTTAATAAGAAAAAACAATTTAATTTCAAAATAAATATGATTTAATAGTAACCCTAAAAACAACAAAATATAGTATTAATGTTGTACAGTACTAATAAATATATTAATGTGAAAATATACTAAAAATGTGTGGCTGTAAAAACTCATACAAATACAAATAGAATGTTGTCATGGTGAGAGGACTGGAGAGGCACTGAGCTGGTAGCCATCTCAGGGAACACGCTCAGGCCTCAAGTCTGAGGGTGGCAGCACAGAAGGCCAGTTCACATGAACAGCAGTGGGACAGAAACACGGGTGTGATTTCTGAAAAGAGATGTGTCACAATGCTATGGAAAAGGGCTCAAATCTGACTATTCCTGAAAATATTGTTCAACAATTAGTAGTATAATTACAAATACACACCTTTGAAAGAATACTTTGTTCTTTCAAATACATACCGAATTTAGCGTAGTAGTAAGAACTGCAGCCACGGCTGTCTTGGCCGGTCCTGTCCGTTAGGGAGGAGCCCTTACTTTACTAACTTAAATCCCTCATATCATTAAGTCACTCATTTGACTTCAACAGCGCTCACTGTGCGTCCAGTTCACACTGGGCGCTCCAGAGTGGGATACACAGCGGACATTAGTTTTACTTCTGACGTCCTTTTATGAGATCTTCTAGTTTTGGTTATGTTAAGGAATTTAAGAGTACAAGTTAAAGTCAGAGAAAACAGTGTGCCAGTTTACTACCCTCAGACTAGAGGCCTCAGTCTTCACTAAATTAGGTCTGAATTGAGCAGCAGCAACAAGACCGTTGTGGTCCTCCCCCTGACGTGTCTTCGAGCCCACAAGTGCAAAACAACATGTCCATCACCCCAGTCCAAAACGAAAAACATCTGTGTTGTTGCATCATTCTCACACACACACACACACACACACACACACACACACACACACACAGGTGGCTGGGGTTTCTATCGGTCAACAGGCCCACCATGATCCCCTTTTGACTGACGAGAAACACAGCTTTAGTTTGAATCAGGAATGTCAAAGCATAGCCTTTCAGTCCCCCCCCCCCAACAAAAAAAAGTCTACAGTCAAATGTTCTCAATTCAGTCTCTAAACAGACTGAAATACAAACAAAAATAACTAACACTTCACATAAATATCAGAATACAGGACATTGAACAGATTCTATAAATAAGATGTAATGTACTAGACAAAGGGATATATCTGTACAGATCATTTATGATGAACCGTGAACTATTTCTTTGGAACACAGACATTAAATAAGAAAGGAGTAAAATTGTGTATTTCTACAGTGAGATGCTGAGCTGATCTGTGAGCTTGTCTAATTACTTCTTGTCTCTGTATATACCTACACTAAAATCCCTTTAGACAGCCTCGTCTCATGACATTTTGTTAAAAAGAACACAATACCTTCAAAAGTAAATAATTAACTGTGCAGAAAAACAAAGTGAATGCTGTTTTTCCCCACCAGGGAAGGGTTTCATGAAGGAAGCAGGACCAGAAACAGGCCTTTGTCCTGATGGAAACTTCCATTTCCTAACCCTCATCCTACCCTTAACGCCATTAGCTAACCTTAATTGTAGTTCTTGCCAGCATCATGGAACCCTTCCTGAGGGAGAAAAGTCATCTTTCTCACATTATCCATCACCACGCACATAGTCTGCATCCACATTCACTTCAGACCAGTCAGTCTGTACAGTGGAGTCAAAACGTTACATCATGTCACAGAGGGACCTGCCGTTCAGTTCAAGTACAACAATCTTTTCTCCGACTCCTTCCAGTTTCTTCTGTCAGAGTTCTGCTTCTGTTGCGCCGGTCGGCAAAGCTGTGGTCAGTTTTTCTTAAGAAAAAAATATTCATATTCACAGCAGACCAGCATCCAGTGAAGTGTTACATAAAATAAGATTTTTGCTACTAGTCTTCTACCCATGAGCAGAACGTCGCTGAAACATTTCCCATTCACACACCAGAGGTGCGGTCGTTTCACTTTAAATTATCTTTTTTTACGTAGCAGCAATTCATATTGTCAATGTACTTCGTGTATATATTAATATCTTTAGGCGGAAAATAGACAGTGGCAAAGTCAGTGTTCAGGATTTCCTGTCTTGCGTTGTCGTTTGGTTTCCTTGCAGGGAATGCATCCACATGTTGCAAAGTGCTGTGACTTCCTTCATAGCAGGGTTGCTGGTCTCATCGCCTCGGTTTTTCACATCTGTGGAGGACAAGATGAAAATCTGGTTAAATGGGTCTGTACAGTCTCCTCCATGCAGGGTAAACCAGGAAGTAGAAGTGGATGGGTTGAGGGGGGAGGGGGGAGGGGGGGGGGGGGGGGCAGGGACATAATCTGGATCAGTTTCAGCCTAATGGTGTGAAATGAACTTTTTCAGTTTAGATGTGAACTGTGGTAGCTTATGTTCAGTGAGCAGGTTTACAGCTGGAACTTGGGCTGAACCAGCATCAACATCTAACCCTCCATCCTTAGGTCCCATCTCTATCCTGAACAGTAAGCAGCCAATTGGAATCATGAAACAGAGCAGAAGTGTGTGGCTCTATACAGCCAAAGCAGTTTGGTCACAAGTCGTGGAAGCGGCTGTATCAGGAGAGGTCGTGAATAATTAGAGGCAGTCGACCCTGCAGATCTCTATCTGGCTATGTGAAAACACATGGGTAAGAGCCAGTCAACATGACATGTAAGCAGCATCTCTGCATTCAGTCCCCAAACCCTGCCTAACACAGGAGCCCCATCACTGCATGAAGGGTTCTGTTATGCCTCATCTACTGGGAACACAGCAATACTGTACATGGTTACTGGTAGGGCCCTCACAATTCGATTACAATTCAGAGAGCTGTGATGCGAATATAAGACAATTATCGATGCATATTTTTTTCTATAAAGAATCTCTGGATAATTACTAAGCATTTAAATTGTGCATTAAAATCCAAAAGAAACATCTCCTAAGGACTAGTTTGCATCCTTAATTTACTTCATTAACCTCAGCACCATGGTTCTTCATTTCTTCAATAACCACTTGTCAGACTCCTCTGAAAACTGAAATATAATTATCAGGATGTACAGTATACAGGACAGAGCTGTACACCAGTTTAGTCTAAGCTTGTACTCGTTGTTCTCAACCCTTGACAAGTAGGTAAGTTAGTAACGACACACAGCTGAGCTAATTAATATTGTTTTGTTGCTAATTTGGCTAACGTTAAATAACAGCCTAAAACATGCTGTACAGGAGAGATGTTAGCTAGCGCTAACCGCCTTCAACTTCCCAGCAGTTGGGGAAACTAGAAACTTATTAACAGTAGGGGTGGGAATTGCAGGGTACCTCACGTTGCGATACACGGCTCACGATAATATCACGATCCAGCAATTCTGCGATAATCCAGACAAACGGTCTGGGCACTGCGCTTCCACGAGTTCCACCTTTTGTATTCTGTCAACATTTACATTTTTTTTTAATCGATTCAGAATCTTCCACGTCGTGATATGCACAAAAATTGGTACTACTTTCTACTGAAGGATCAGTCCCATTGGAAACTGCTCAGTGAGCTCTACAGGACTGTTAAGAGTAATGTGGAAACAGTTTCAGCATAAAGATGCTGCTGTTACATGACTAGGTGTTTAATGTTTTAAGCACCGCAAATTAAACTGCCTTCACCTCTGTTAGGGTGGCAGAATGAATATCTTGAAACTGTTTGCAAAGCCAGGGGCAAGTGAGAAAATATAGGTGAACTGAGCCTTAAAGGTTTCATTTTTCAATCCCCTTAGGGTCCTAAAACCCCTCAAAATCCATTGTTTAATACCCTTTGTCATCCAGCTACAACAAGGTGACAAAAAACATGACATGATCACGAACAGTTGAGATTACGGAAAAGACGAACAAATGGCAAAATCATTGTGGAAACTACACTTCTGTGTGTGAACTGTAAATAATGACTGACCTAAGGTGGAATGTGTGTGTCTGGGAGTTTCTAACTAACTCACACCAGTGTTTAAGTCTGAGCTGAACAGCGTGACGCACACAGTGACATGTCATATCTTGAACAGTCAGACTGAATTAAAACAACATTTCATTGGGAATCTGATGACATCATTACTGCAATCTGATTTCTGCATCTGACAAAAGACAATGCAAGCACAGAGACGCCACATTCCCATCAACACACAGCAACACAACAGCAAAGGAAAGGGAGCATGCAGTTCTCAGCAGAAATCCATCTGTGGATGGGCGGAGAGACGGGGTGGAAAAACAGAGGATTCAAGGCACATTATTTATCATGTATGCATGGCATAAACAAACCTGCAAGTTCTTTGGTTTAATTCAAGTCGCCTGGACTTGCAGTCTAACTGTGTGAATTTGCAGGAACATTTACAGGTGAGAGGGTCCTGCACAAACAAGCGCTTCCTTCTCTCTGAGCAAGGCGCACAGTGGCTGCAAGGGAAGCAGAAAGGGAGAGAGAGAGCTAAGCTACAGAGCCAATTCTGCAGAAAGGACAGACACTCATGCAACACACCACTAGCAGGTGAAACCGAATCAATAAAGCATACACTTTTAACTGATCCTGCCCTTCCACCCATGATTTCAAAGCTTCTCCCAGGAACACAAATGGCATCCTATTAAAAAGTAAAAGGGGCATTTCCCTGAATTTAATGTGGTGCAAAAAGGAAATTCTTTAGCAGAATATGTCTCCTGAATCTGGCCAATGCCCATCATCAGGGCAAACACTGCAATGCGATTGAGGTATAAAAGCCGCACAGAGATGGAAAATTAACATCTAATAGTTAGGCTGACACTACAGTTGGTATCTGTTATAGTTTTCATTTCATGAGATGAAAAGGTCACACTAAAGACACAACAAGATAAATAAGGGTAGTTGCTATGGGGCAAAGGAACTATATTTGTCTCAGTGAACAGCACACATCCAAGCACCAGGATCAATTCTTTATCACCTTTCTAACCTCCCGTACGAAAACAAGCGCAAAGCAACCCAAAGCAGAACTTATCAGCAGACCTCTCAAGGCTACAGTGATCTTAAGCTAAACACACCACGGCTCTGCATTTCTGTACTGTAACGGAAGTAGGGCTGTCCCCGACTAAGAATTTACATAGTCGAATCAGAATCGTCAAGTCTGGGGGGGGGGGGGCGCTGCTTTAATCTTGAGAAGCTGCAGAGCTACAGTCTCTATTCAACTTACACTGTAAATTTCCAGCTAAACTGAAGCGCTCTCTCTCGCCTGTCATTCACCGGTCTTACACATGTGCACTGATGACCCAGGGTTAGGGTTACAATTTAGGATTTATTCACCCACTTCAAAAACATTTATTGAAAGTTATATTCTTTTACATGTTTATTTACAGCATTAAATGTTGAAAAGTATATTGTAATGGGCTGTATATTATCTTATTGGGAGAAAACCGGTAGTTCTGGCATGATCCTTGTTTCGCTGTGAAGCTTAGACTGTGAGATTGACAGTCGAATCAGGCCCCACCCATCGAAGCATCGAATCTTCCACTATCCGGGGTCAGCCCTAAACTGAAGTGTAGCGTTTGTGGCTCTCAGTTGAAACAAAAGAATATATGGCATCAGATAAAAGCCTTCAAGAAAAAGTAGAAGCAGCAAGCACTTATCAGGGTAGCACAGTAAAGGCCAGCGAGCAGCCAAGAGAACCCTTCCTCCTGACAGAAATGCTCAAATTACTTTTGCAGATACATAAAAAGAAGTGAATGGAACTTGTGAACAGAAAGTTATTTTGGAAGAAACCAAAAGGTGCTTGGGAATAAACCAATTGATGCTAGAACACATTGCAGCACTGGCTCAGGCCTCAACAATCCTGCTGATGCCGATAGCTTTCGGCCCTTACCCCTGAGAGAGAGGAGAGGGCAGGAGAAAGAGGAGAGACACCTGATAAAACCAAGCAGCAGATCAACCAGCAGAGAGTCCGCTCTCTCCTCACTGTTTGGGCTGGGTTTAATCCGGAAGATAGGACTGTACTAGGTGTATCAGGATGTTCGAATGAATGAACGTGCACAGCTTGGCACACAGTTGCTCCTCTTATCCAATTAAACAACCTGACCTGCTGCTGAGAACTGAGTTTTCCCTCTGCTAGTCTCCAAACATTTCCTCCATTTACACCACTAAAATTAAAGATGGGTTAACTGAGTGACACCTGTTGCTATGATTAGAGTGGGGAAGAAGCAGAGGCCGAGGGTCAGGTCTGTGCAACTGGAGCCAGAGTGCAGACAGCAGCAGGACGTCTACGCCTCAATCACTCACGCTGGTATAGCGTGAGTTATGGTAGCCATAAAAAGCACGCTCAAAGTGTGAGCGCCCTGTAAAGATAGCTGCGAGATAGGACCCCCCCATCCTCTAGAACAGTTAATGAGAGAAGACAGTTAAAGAGAAAAGAAGACGTACTTACTATTCTTTCTTTGCTTGAACATCTGGCTTCAGTCTGAAATCAAAGAGACGAATCAGATTTTAGCTTTCATTGCATCACTGCCAGTGTGTGTGAAAGAACGTGAGGTCTATGGTCTCTTACCTACAGTCACACCTCTGATGTTCTGTGAAACTCAAGTCAATAGTATGTTGCGTTACCATTGGTCTAACCCGCATTACCTTGAAGAGATCAGAGGACACAATAAGGCGAGATTCAGATTAAAATAAAATCAACATTTCTTCTCCTAAGCCGGTCTAAACAGCACAGCCCTGACCGCTCTGAGGCTGATGTGCTTCCCGGAGCTTCTCCAGCAGGGGGCCATGGCAGACTTCCACCGCCCAGACAGTCAACGCAACACATCTGAGATGCTGGGCCCCCCGCTCTGCTTCTTGGTCTCTCACACAATGCAGACTCATCTCCACCCCAATTTAAAATAATCTTAACAGAAACTTTTCTTACTAGCCTTTTCTGGAACTTTCAACCGCATTTCATGGTCTTCATTTGTAGGTGGACTTTGCTCACTTTTGATGAAGATGGTTCAGTTATAATATGACCCAAGTATGGAAATGGTAATCTATAACTCAATATTTAGATCACGTGACTATGCAAACTCCATCTGCTGATGAAAGCCATGAGATGTGGTTGAAATTTGTGGAAAAAGCTAGTAAATAGACCTTGGGTTGTGATTATTTTATACTACTTGCATGAGGCATACATCAGTCACTGTTGCCTTGGATCACTGAGCCTGTCCTCCTGCATGAGGACGCCGAGTGTCTACAAGGAGTCATTTTGGCCCATAGGGGTCTACGGAGGACTTTTTTGGTGAACCCCACTCGTCCTCCAGCTCACCTGCAGTGTGACGTTGTGGGTTTCTGTGGGAACACACTCCATTGCTTCGTCATTGCAGCAGCCACCACAGCGGTTGATGACCACACAGGAAGGGATGTAGTTATGTTCCGTGTCCTCCGGATACTCCTGAAGGATGTCCACCAGCACCTCCCTGGGCTGACACATACTCTTGGTGATGACTTCCGTGAAAGGGATGACTAAAAAGACAAAAGGATTGATCATTTTTTCATCATCATCACCTTTATAGCAATGGGGAAAGTGATTAGTCACGTTTGATGCAATACTGTACAGAACGATTATTTTTCAAGTCGATTAATCTAACAATTATTTTTTCGATTAAACTACTAATTGTGTATTGAAAGAGAAAAAAAAAAAAGAAAAAAAATGTTGCCCATTAGAAAAGAAATGTTGCCCATTACGCGATGAACATACCAATAGACATGTTTCTGATATTTATAATCAATATTTTATTCAATCATCTGATGAAGCACATCAGAATAATGACAATAGCAGCAGATGTTAAAATGAATCCAATTTCCACGTCACTGATGTGTTGTGATAACAATGACATCAGGCTACTTTACATGTTTCTGACATGGATTAATTTCAATATTGAGTAATGCAATATGATATTCAAATGTATTTCTGTATCAGTGTGGGGCAAAGAAAACAACTGAGACGATTCACAGACTGAGCGGTTATTGTTGTCTGTACTGCTAGTTTCAGTAACATGAAGGCGATGAAGAAATACTTAGTACACTAACAGACAACGTGTCCTCGTGCTGATAATGCGTCGTGCTCGTGTGGAGACAAAGTAAACATGATTTGCGGTGCTGGCGTCAGTGCTCGGGGATACTTTCGCTTCACATATTGGTGAACAGCAGTTGTGCTGCAGTGAAGCCATTTACAGTTCAACTCAGGAGAAGCACCTTGAGCGTCTGCCTAAAATACTTTAGGCGGTCAAAGGCGAGGTCTTGTAGCTGCATGGAGCTGTTCCGGGTGAATCCCCGCTAACACGTTTAGACGCACATAATGCGAGTGGACGTATTTACATAATTGATTCCATCGACGAATCGCTCCAGCCCTATACTGGATCCTTATCCAGCGCCACTTCCTGTCGCTGCTCGTTTTTTTTACTAGTGAAAAAGAGCAACACTCGTTTATCTTCTGCCAGTAAAAAGGCCACATGCATTTCTTAACTGGTGCCCAATAACTAGACAAGCTCCACAAGCCAACAGTGCCACCGACATGACACACCTGAGCAGTAACGGTGCCGTTTAAGATTGTTTCTGGAAAAAATTAAATTACGCAGCGCTGACTTTATCTTGCGATATTTGCAATCTTGCAAATGCCACAAGTGACAGTGTTGTGCTGCCCTTCGTCCACCTAGTGGTAGCTGTATTTTTAGGCCACTGGGAATTTTGAGCTTGAGTATTGACCCTTTGGAGTTGCTGTAGCTAGTCAGTGTGTGAGTGCGGAAGCAACAAAGTAGCAAATCAAGACAGTGAAGTTAAAAGCTCATTTATTTCACCAGAGCTCAGGAAACATATGTACTTTAAGTTTTTGCAAAGTATTCAGGATGTTAAGCATGTGAAGCAAAAAGTGTATTTTAAGATCTTATTGCGATGCTAATATCTGTTAGAATGTTAATGGAGATTCCCATTATATTTTAGCATTAAGCTAACTTTTTTTTTTAATGTATCAATATGATGGGCTGGAATATCTACAATATCGGGGGGGAAAAGTATAATTATATATACACACACATATTGTATGTATCACATATTGCTGTAATGACTTTTTAGCACACCCCAGTTTAGGACCATGTCACAAAAGAATAAAAAAGCTAATAAGAGTTACGGCAGACAGAAGGGATCATTTCAGTGGCAATAATTTCACTACAGGCTTATACAATGTGGCACACAAGCCTCAGGTAATATTTGGAGGTCAAGAACAGAAAGCTGATGACCAAGGTTTGATATCAATGTCAGATAGAATCCAGAATAACTAAATACCTAACTAAAGCTCAAGACGCAAGGCCAGCTCTCTCTGTATTTCCATCCCCTGTGCAACCCAGAATGATCCATCCCACAGTCCATCAGACTGGGTTCCCAGCGACCTCTGACTAACTCCTGACCTCTGGCTTGTCAGTAGAGCCATAACCTCAGGGACTGTGGCGCCAGGGTTCCTTACCTCCGACATGTGACCCCACAAAGTCCAACCCTGTGCTGGCTCTGCCTCTGGACTAATGCTGCAGACAGACTGTGTGCCAATCAGCTTCAGGATTATATTGGACTCATTTTACAAAGAATATACAGATGGACCCTTGAGGATTTCATCTGAACAGTCTTTGACACATTACTTCAACCATCCTGTCTCAGGCATGATAAGGCAAATTGCCTTTACCGACTGTTAAATCGTCTCATGTCACGTCTGATAATCAAATAAGAATAAAAGCATAGAGACTGGCAGCAGTCAGGAGGAACCTCCACCACGTCACTGAATGAGTCACATTTGATCCAAAACAAAGTGGCAGCACCGTGCATCACTCCAGTTCTATACTGTATGACTCTGCAGTTCTGGCTCCACGGTGACCTGGCCAGAAGACACCAGCAGCTGCTCCAGACAGCAGCAGCCTCACGTCCACATGCCTAGCCGAGGAAGATTTGCTGTCTTACATCATCCTTGAATAGAAAAATTCTGGTGGTACCAAGTCTCTTATAGTCATCAAATCCCATGTGCAGAGCATCGCCTAACAAGTATTATGTATTGAATCCTGATGTATCCTGTTCCTCTGCCTCAGAGAGCTTCTTAGTTTAAAACGCAGCCCTTAGGCACACTGTGGGCTGGTTGACATGTTGCTTATAAAGGCATAGTTCGCAGCTGGAAACTGGGCTGTCTGTGCAGTGGTATATTACTGAAACTGGCCTTCCAGCATTTCTTCTAGCCGGTTGATTTTGGACAGGATGTTTGGAGCGGAGGGGAGCCGCACCTCTCTCGATCTGACGTGGAAGATCACTCTGTGCTAGAGCCCTAGAGCTGGAAAATGAACGGACTCTGGGTGCAGGCAACATGGACGGTAACCACTGTTCATATGCTAACCACAGTATAATGGCACAAAGCTGGTTCAAAGTTTCCCTTTAATCACAGTCAGGACAGGCTCTGAGTTTTTTCAGGTTCTGCAGAGATGAACTCTGATAGTGTGGCTGTGTGAAGCTCAGATTTCCTGCTAGTGATACTAATTTGAGTGACTAATCCTGTGTCCATCCATCACCCACCCACCTTAGCCTCAACACAGCAATGTCACTGTCAAACAAACAAGTGTGGCATTGAACCAAGGCTGGTCGGCTCTTCCTGTACCAACTGCTCTTCTACCACAGATTGGTGAGAAACCCCCCCCCCGAAATATACCAACTGAAGTATTGTGAAGGCCTTGACTGTTTTTCCACATTCTCTCTCACACTGACTCTTGTTTTGAACTCTATCCCACTTTAATGGTGGAGTCCCAAATCAGACCTCTCACAGCTCGAGCTTTGATTCCGGTCTCTTCTATGCAGAAAAACAATCCTCAGCCTGACTCATGTCAAAACTTCACACCAGTTCGTCTGATGTTTTCACATGTCCACTAGGTGGCCCTGTGGTCATCTGGCCTGCACAGAGAGGTATGTCTCCTTTCTGACCATTCAAAGCGTTCACACTGCATCACATTCACACAGTGGCCATGGCTGCCATGCAGCTGCACACCGCTCACACACTGGTGCACAGCCATTGGCAGCAATCTGGGGTTCAGTATCTCCCAAGGACACATCGACATGCAGACCGGAGAAGCTGGGGATGAAAGCACTGATGGGTGACCCTGTCTACCTTCTGAGCCACACGCTTCCAAGAAAAGACGCCTATAAATTAGAGAGACAACTTACCCTCATTTTTACTCTTCTCCAGTCCCTTCTTAATGCTGGCAGTCTGCAAGAGATGCACATTAGAGTAGATGTTAGTTATTTCTCAGCCTCAACACATTGGCTGTCACCACAAAAAGATATGTCTCACTAACTGTATGGATGTATGTTTTTATTTCCATTTCACAGGCAGCTCATTTCATCAGATGCCCCACAGGTGTGTGACACCATGACTCACAGAAGAGCTAGCAGCCGGTTTAGCTGCGGGTTACTCTTCAAAATAAAAGCACACAGTTCCATCTAACAGGATGTTAACCAAAAGAGAACATAACATTTAAATGGCCACTCTACACACCCAGTTGAAAGTGAAAAAGCCCTCTGCTACTGATCAGATCCACTTCGGGATGCGAGCAAAGAGTTGCAACAGCTACCTACTCATCATTAGACAGGGCACGTGAGATACGTGCTCTGTCGTATGGAAGCTTTTGTTAAAACGCCCCTTCACACTGCTCCGTGGCTTGTGGCTCAGTTTTATTTCGACAGGTCTAACAGGATCCCGCATTTGTTTTGATCGGAAAAGACTAGACGTGACGAATCTGCGTACCTCAGAGGTCTCGGTTCATCTCACGTGGCTGCTGTAACCGGAGGAGAGATTGCGTGAGAAAGCGGCTCGGTGTCCTGACGGACAGGAGGAACCGGGTGTCGGCCTCCACAAGCTGCGGATCACCGTGAGACTATAGACGGGGACTAAATAGCTGAGAGGGCGGACTCAGCGTCAGGCAGAACTCCACTGAGAAATGTCGCAGTTAATGGCAATCTCCGAAAATATTTACCAGCTATAAAGACTCGAACGTGTTGGGCAATCTTGTCCGTTACCATTCAGTTCGGCATACAGGTAATCTAGCAAGCAGCATCCTCAAAAATCAAAATCACCTTTAAGGTATCCCCACACATTACACCCAGCTCAGTGGGTCGTAGCCACCGACAAGCAAACCGAGTGTATGTTTGAGTTCTACGTAACTACATGCTTCAATATCCACAATAAGTTATAAGCTTAGAATCAAAATACTCTGGATACTTATTGACTGTATTTGCGCTCACTGCACTAAACTGACTTTTTTATTAAATAGAGTCTGGCTTTGCAAAGAGAAGGGCACGCATTGAGGTTTCAACAAAAAGCACAAATTAAGGAAAGGGTTTAGTGGCTGCCAGTTTCCCCACAGGGCGAGCTGGGTGTCGCCTCGGCCCACAGAGTCCTGGCTCTGAAAGAACTGTTCCTGTCAGCACAAAGACTCACCTTTACAGTTGATAAGTGAAGAGCCGCTGCCAAAAGGATTTGTAACGTTACCACACTGACAACAAAGTTCATGGTTGTAATTCCGCACGAAGAGTCTTGAAATCTCTGCGCTCGTGAGAGTCAAAAATGTACCAATTCCGACAAACACACACACTCAAACATAGTCAGAAAATGAAAAAAAATATACTTTTTTTTTTTTTAAAAACCGCGGCAAATCTTTGCTATAGCAAAAGCGAATCCATTTCTTGCACGCGCATGTGGCACGTTCACAGGAAGCCTGCCAGTGTCTCCCGGCAGCGCTGCGACCGGATCCAACGAGACTGGCTCATCCGCAGAACTCTGCTGGGCTAGATTGTCCGGAGATGACCGTAAGAGCCTAACGTTTAGGGGTCCGCTCAGATACTTTACGCATGGGGTCTCTCATTGAGCCCAGAAACAACAGGCGTGCGTGGAGGGATCCGCCGGTATAAAGTGATCCTTTTGCTTTCTTATGGAGAGCTTCTTTGTTGTGGTTCTTATTTAGTGTCCAGCCCCGTGCCGTGCCTGGGCTTCTTTTCGGATAAGCACCGGTACCACCCTCTGTCGTGTTCCGTGTCCTCTTGGCTGCCGCTGCTGTACTTCGTGCGTTATTAAAAGGTGGCCGGCAGCAGCAGCCAACCACAGCTGGAGGCGGGGCGGCTGGCAGGAACCAATTGCAGAGGGGTTTTTTTTTTTACTAATCTTTATTGGTAAAGATATTGAACAATGGTAGAAATAGTCATTAATACAAATACATACAAGACGTGAATAGAGCCAGGGAGAGTTTTCATACAAAAACATTAAACAAAAGAGCAGAAATTAGTTACTTTGTTTTTTTTAAATCAGAGATGTTATTAATGCACTGCTCAGTTTCATTTTCAAAGACTATAAATAAAGGTTTAGAGTGACTAAATTTGGCTTTGTGGATATGGTAATTTCCCCGAGATGATCAAAAGATTGATTGGGAATAATTCTGTCTTATTATATATTCTGTATTATTGTGGAAGCCCAACAGTACATTTTTCCAGTAAAGACAAAATTGATAGTCAATGATACTAATATATTGAGATAAATCTTTCCAGAATCTGCTAGAGCAGGGCATTGCCAGAACAGGTGTACTATTTTCTCTGGTATACATTTTGCAAAATGGGCAATTAACACATGTCTCCCTAAGTTTGCAAAGAAAGTGGCTAGCAGGATACAACTCTTAAGAAACTTCCTTTACTTTATTAATAAGTACTTGTATGGAAGAGACTAGACATTTCCCCAGTTCAAGTTTTCAGCAAATCTTGACCAGTAGGCTATAACAGTAGGGGTGGTGGTGACTTCTTGCTGAAATAATGATTGTATGTTACAATAAGCAGACTGGTTTGTCAACACATTTCAGCAGAGTTAATACCAACAGCATTGGCATCAATTACTATGGCAAACTCTTTTGGGGTAGTAGGAATGCCAAACGATTTGAAGAAATTCAGAGTAATTCATCAAAATTCTGTTATTAGTTGGTTACTAAGATTTGTGTTAATCCAGTTCTTCTAAAACAAAGATTTATTCTTGTATGAAATGTGATTATTCCAGATCAAGCATCTTTGTGGGGGAAAAAAGTTTGTATATTAAAGACCAAGCTAAGAGCATTTGTTTGTAGAAATCAGATAAGATTAAGGGAAGCTTCTCTATTTTATAATCTGATAATAGAACATATGAGGCCTCCAATTGTAGAGAAAATATAATTGGGTATAAAGTTCCACATGGAGGAGGGATTGTTTAGAAACTGTTTCATCCAATTTTAAAAAGGTATTCAGTCATAATCAAGAAAATTGAGACCACCTGATTGATGGGTGTTAATGACAGACCTTTTCAAAAACGTGCTTACAGCCCGGTACAAAATGGTTTGTGAGGTGTCTGTCGGCATACATAGCTTGTTAACTCAGCTCACGAAGCAAATTTGCCAGCTCCAAGTAGCACTAACGATGATGTTAAAGTTACAGAATTCGTTAGCTATGCAGTGTTATTAGCAGCCTGGTTTGAACGCAGCAGGTGATACAACATTCATTATAACCATGAGTGACGCGAGACTTGACTTGGGCTCTTGCTTGAAGACTTGTGAGGATCTCTGTTAGCAGTGTGCCTGCTTGTGAACTAGACAGTGGTAATGAAAATGGGGAAGCTGGTCAACAAATACAGGGGAGAAAGAGCAACATTAAAAGAAAGTGAAACAGTCTTTTTTTTTTAAATGTGCAGAGAAACATCCTTTTCCAGTCATGGCCAGAAGTAGTGTCACAAAATCCTGTCACGTTTTCTGGGCACCCAAGTTCCCTGACCCATCATTAGCACACCTTAACACAAGACAACAAAACTTGGATGAAACAACTTGAAAAATGGGATCCAACAAACTCACCATGGGGCACCACTTCCTCACCATTCTCTTCTGAAGAAAGGTGAAAGTATGAGAGATAGTAAAAGTAGCTAATGGCAACATTTTCCACCTCACAGCACAGACCTGAAACCACTCTTGCAAGGATTAGTCAGCTCTGTTCATACACTTAGGTAAAAGTAAAATCAGGTAAACATGACAAAGTAGGGACTCGTCACCCACATAACCATGCTTGCAGGGAAACCTTTGTGAAAGCACAGCACTTTCAGCAGGCTGTTCTGAGCCAGAAGGAGAGAGAGTGACAGCCAGAGGTGGTGACAAATTCACTTCCAGCCAAGTCATTGCCAGAAATGATATCAACCCCTTCCAATCTAGGTTCATCCTGTTGGCACCTCACATTATACAAGGTTGTTAAATTAAATGCAGTTTGTAGTTCCCATCTGCTACAAGCAGAAAATGAACTTTTAAAGTAGGTAAGTAGAAATAAACTATTGCATGTAACAGTGCTGAGGATGAATTTGAATTAAAGAGTCTCAAAGCCTGGGGGGAAGAAGCTGCTCTGGTGACAGCAGGGTAAACAGAATGTGGCTTTGTGGGTACTGTCCTTTAGGATCTTTTGGGCTCTGCTTAGGAACCTCACCGATATCTATGATCTGATCTTCTGAGTAGTTTTAATCACTTTGTTCGTTGGATTATTTTCTTATTTTGGATCACCTGGACTCAGCCACTCCTTATAAGTGTGTTCACTTTAAGTTATTAAACCTTTTGAACAATACCTGCTCTTGTTATGTGTAGTAGTGGTGGTTGAGCAGGTTGAGAACCCAAATGCAGGACACCAGAGCTGAGCAGATATAGTCCAATGATTCATTAACAAGAAGAGAGCACACTTACAAACTGGGGCTAAGTCCAAATAGAATCCAAAGGTTGTAGATGAAACAGAGGCCCAAAAACAGCAGGAACAAACTCAGGCAACAGACCAACACAGGATACACTCAGCAATGAACCAACAAAGACTGGCCAGAACAGGCATGAAATACTCAGGAAAACGAGCAGGGTGGGAACACAAAACAGGTGAACGTCATGAGCAGCTAATTAGGCACTGGAACGACTGCAACAGCAGGAAAGACTGCAACATCAGAGCATGGACAGGACCAAACAGGAGACAGGACTACGGACTAAGATGAAAGACCGGACAGATACTAAGAAAACTTAAACATTCGAATGAACAAAAAATTTGGCTACAAAACCCAAAACATGACAAGATCAAATAAAGCTTATAGAAACACAGACCCCAAAACCAAACCCATGAAACCAGATACTAAGTAAACTAGAACATGTGAATGAATAAAATAATAAACAAGGCTACACAGAGAAACACAAAACCAAAAACAGACTTAAGCAGGAAAGACATGAACACAAAACCAAACAGCTGTTTCCTGCATTTGGATCCTTCAACCTTTCTTGTCTTTTCGACCACTCAAAGCGCTTTTGCACTACATCTGCATTCACCATTCCCACACATACAGAAACTAACATTCACACACATTCATACACTGCTGGAACAGCCACCAGGGGCAAATTGGGGTTCAGTATCTTGCCCAAGGACACTTTGACATGCAGCCTGGGGGAGCCGGGATTGAACCACCAACCTTCCAATTAACAGCCAACAACTCTACCTCCTGAGTCACAGCCGCCCCTTGTAACATTCTGTTTCTCCCACATCTGACATAATAGTATTTTCAACATACATCTTTTAGAGATGCATCTCAAAAAATTAGATCCTCAGCGTGGCGGACATCTGTTTGGGTGGACTGACATAGAAAGGACTTCTCACTTTTAGTTTTAAATATTGTCCATATGTGTTTTATGTCCATTTTTACTCCTTTTATCTTACTGAAAATGTGTAGTGGATCAGCCAGTGTGGATTTGTTCATTTTATATCAAATAAATCTGAAGATCCCAAATTCTTTTTCTCTCCCTGAGAGAAAAAGGAGGGGGGTTGAGATATCAACCCTCAACAGACAGCTGAAGCGACCCCAAAGTAGGGGGTGAAAGGTTTGCTTTCCCTAAGTGCTGTTTTGGGCAGTTCGATCGTAAAACTTGCCACCTTTGGTGAAGCCGAGATAAGACTCGTGCTTGACTGCTAAAATGACAAATGCTAACACTAACCAGAAAATAACTTTCCCCTGAACAGCCTATCAGGAGAGAGGGCAGGAAACACTAAACTACCTCTCCACACACGTAACCATGGCAACTGACCTTCCTCTTTCAGCAATGATTCCTGACATTCGTTTAAGTGATGTTTTTAACTAATGCTTTATTTCCAGCTCCTTCTGACCTCTTATACATAGAAATGATATATACCGAAATATTATCCTGTGTTAAATAATTAATTTCCCCAGCTCCTGAGCAAATGATTGTTTAAAGAAATGTTCCTCCTGCTATGTATAGGGGATAAAGGAAGGGATATAAGTAACACTTGGACTTTAACAGAGGATGAAGCTAAGCTGTTAAAAACATATTACGACGAATTTTCAGCTTACCTCACGCCGAAAGCCAACCCCATCTTTGCCAGATACAAGTTCCATGAAAAGACGCAGGGGAGCGGTGAGTCATTCGAGCACTTTGTAACGGAGCTTAAACTGCTCGTTAAAGACTGTAGCTATGCAAATAGTGAAGAAATGGTTAGGGACCGTATAGTATTTGCCACCAACTCACCTAGAGTATAGGAGAAGCTACTCAGCCAGGGACCGGAGAAATCCCATACTCCAAATACAGAACACAGAGAGGTGCACACTGTTGGAGAAGGACATGAGGATTATGACTCAGAGCTGTTCGTGGACACTGTTGCATTAGAGAGTGATGATGAGGAAAGTGCTTATGCAGACATACAACTGGGACCACAGAATAAAACACTGACATTCAAATTGGACACTGGAGCACAAACAAGTGTGATACCTGCAAAAGACTTTGACACACTCATGTCTGGCACACCACTAATGACTGCTAGCTAGCAAGCTATTTGGCTACGGGGGCATCCGCTGAAAGGGAGTGGCTATTGCAACCTAGTAGCCAGATACATAAATAAGTCAACCTCCCAGAAGTTCCACGTCGTGAAGTGCATCCTGGGTTACAGAGCATGTAAAAATCTCATCAAGGTGGTGTATGCAGTCACTGACGACAGTGAGAAAAAATGCAACACCCAGCCGGCTGACATACTGAGTGAGTATTCGGACGT